AGGTACATGGAAAATGTGCACATGACACAGCTCATTAGCTCTGCTCAGGTCCTCCCAGAAGTGTTCTCTCCAGCCACCCATTCTGCCAGGCTCTGCTAAGCCGGGTGAAAGAGAACAAGGGAGCCCCGCAGTTGAAATGCCCGAAATTCATAGGATACAAATGCAGAGCTCTGTTTAGCCCTCTCCCCCATTTCCTCTCTTAGTCTCCACAGACAAATGCTAAAGAGAACAAACAAAATGTGATCCCTTCCTAAATATCTGAGACCAAGAAAGGGGATCGCCTTCCCCCACTGCTATCCATCAACTGCCAGAGAGCCCGGTGGGCAGCACAACTCTGCGGTGTCATTACTTCTGCCTGGGTGACAACCCTTTGGTGTACAGCATGACATCACCAGGAGAGGTGCAATGCCGTTGTTCTGCCTGGAAGTGACATAATGTGGCTGCTAAACTCAGATATGCAAAGGCTCCAAGAGAAGCCGGTGAGGACCAAGGATGATCGTGAACCGTTCTGGTTCTGCCGGGAAGTGTTTCTAGCCTTAGTCTAGAATGCTTGGCTTGGGTTAACGGCACCAATGGCAGCGAAGGGCTCAGGTTATCTAGTGTGCACACAGCATTCCGGTAGCATTTAAATTGGGTCTGGTTTTTTTGTTTGTTTTCTTGATTTTTGAGACAGGGTTTTTTTCCTGTGTAGACCTGGCTGTCCAAGAACTCGCTCTGTTGCCCAGGCTGGCCTAAAACTCAGAGATCAGAGATCTGCCTGCCTCTGCCTCCCAAGTGCTGGGATTAAAGCATGTGCCATCATTGCCCGGCTTGAAGTTGGGTCTGTTTTGAAGACAGTTATGAGATCCTAGAAACTGTAATGATTACGAGAAATTGCACACCACGGGCGCTCGGCCACCCACAAGATACGACTGGACAGGAAGTGTCAAGAGCACAGATGCACTGTGACGTTGCTCATTGGGAAGTTTCAGCAGTCTCATCTTGAAAATTGTAGTCGCAGGCAAGGCTTCAAGGGTGTTTCCAATATATAGTTCTTGTCAGTGTGAATTACCAATTTTTAAAATGTTGTTCAAGACTTTTCTCTTTACAGATTAACAGTTTTAAAATTAGCAATGAAATCTACACTTTAAGAATGTGATTTTTGCCAGGTGATAGTGGCACATGCCTTTAATCCCAGCACTTAGGCAGAGACTGATAGATCTCCATGTGTTTGAGGCCAACCTGGTCTACAGAGGGTGTTCTAGAACAGCCAGGGCTGATACACAGAGAAATCCTGTCTCAAAAAACAAAAAAAGTGATTTTTAAGGACAGGACAAGCTAGCCTAAAGAACCTTATATTGTGCTCGATCATCAGCAGGCTAGAAATGATGATTTCTTTCATTTTCCTCGATGAAAAACAAGAATATTCAAGTTCCTGTCTCTATTTTATATACTTCTAAGACTATGGTATGAAATATGGAACTTCTTCCAAGGAAAACACCCAAATGCTCATGTCTAAATTCTTATTCCTTCAATATCCCCAACACTGGCCTTCCTAACTCTCTCTCTCTCTCTCTCTCTCTCTCTCTCTCTCTCTCTCTCTCTCTCTCTCTGTGTGTGTGTGTGTCTGTCTGTCTGTCTGTCTATCTCTGTCTCAGTCTGTCTGTGTGTGTGTGTCTGTCTGTCTGTCTCTGTCTCGTCTGTCTCTTTCTCTGTCTGTCTCTGTGTGCTTGTCTCTCTCTGTCTGTCTGTCTGTCTCTCTCTTTATCCGATAACCCACTAAGTCCAGGTTCCAAAGGAAACTGACCACACTTTAAAGTGGAATAATTCTCCCTCTCCAACAACCATGCACTGCCAGAAGTTCCTCAATAAGGGTTGGGGCCTGGAGATCATCTACACTGAGATTTTTGCTGACTTGATGTTGAGTCAGCAACCACAGCTTCTGTGAGTCTATGATTACAACAGTCAAGTCATGATCAGAACACATCATATAGCACATCTCTCTGTCCTCCAGATCTAACACCCTTTCTGCTCTCTCTTGGGCTGTGCTTCCTGAGCCTTGGTGGTAGGGGGGTTAACATAGATGTCCTATTAAAAGTCAAGCACTCAGTCTCTTATTTTCCACACTTTGACCAGTTATGCATTTCTTCATTGGATGCTGCCCACTTTTAAAAGAAGACTCTCTGCCCAAAGCTAAGAGGAGCCAAGTCTATTGTTATCAGCATAAGTATTTAGAAGGTAGTTTGATAGCAAGACCACTTAGCAAAATAACAAAAGTAGATTCTAGGGCCTTTGACCTCCCCTTTTGACCAGGATTACAGCAACAGGAATGAAACTCCTTCTGTGAAGAAGGTCTCAAACCCAGTTAGAAATCTATTTCTCCCATAACGGTCACACCACTATTGCAGCAGTAACTACATTTTACCTGGCATGTTGTATTTCAGCATGTAGGGTCCAGTACTGGGTAAGACCATTGGTGTCCTTTCTCCCCTAGCAGTCTGGAAAACGCCTTCCAGAATTACTAAAGCTGACCAGCCAGGAGGAAGTCATCTAGTCTGTTTGTGTGTAAAGGCTAATGCTTTTTCTGCTGCCCAAAAGCATTTGCCCTAAAGGAGACACAACCTAAAGTCAATGCTAAATTCAATGCTAAATAAGAAAGAACTGATATTCTAACATCCAGGTGGGGTGATGTTGGTGTATTTTCAGAGAATGAATGGTGACCCAGATGACTCCTGATCTGATGACTCCACCCAGGACATCAAGAGACCACCAGATGAATGAAACATCTGAAGGCAGACCACAAACCAACTATCAAGAGGAGATGTCCCAGGAGGAAGAGGAAGCTGGTAACTTGGAGAGGCATGAGGACTTTAACTCATCAATCTGAGACTTTGAGGAAACAACAAAGACATTATTATATGACTGGCTCCCAAAATGAGGCTGTTCTGTTTAATGACTATGTTGCATGTTAATTATCGGCTTATCCAGGATCCAAATATTTTTGTCGGGGGGTGGGGGATAAAAGACACACCTGTGATAGGAGACAGTGTGATATTGTTTTGCCATGCTAAGGACTGTTTATAAGGGGTTCTGTGGAATAGGCTGTATTGCACTCATTTTGCTCAGTAAATCTTTGCAACCAGTCAATAGAATTAAGAGAACTCTCCCCTAAACTTGCAATGATTAGTAAAACTATGAGCACTACAACAAAAATATTAGCAGAAGTTAGTCTAGAGATGGATGCATTGAGGACCACAGTTTTAGACTAGCCAGGGAGGCAATGCATTCTGCCATAGCCTCTATTACGACCACCATTTTTTCTTTTAAAAATCAAAAGGGAGGAGATGTTGAGAGAACAAAAAGGGTTTTTTGTTGTTGTTGTTCAAAGATCCCTAGGGAAGTGAAGAATGTTTAATATGCAGGGGCCTCTCCTCAATGGAGGAGATAAAATACTTGTTTTCCTGCTCTGAAAGCTGGGAGTGGATGGTGTTAGACCCTTTGCTTTCTGTGGAAGTAGGCCTTACCAACCTTGTGCTATAGAGACAGACTTCATCTTAGATGTTTATCCCAGACTTTCCCCTCCCTAGACCTTTATCTTTAGCTACCAGTTAATAAAACTGTGGTGATTTGAATAGGAATGGCCCCATAGAATCATGTGCTTGAATGCTTGGCCTATAGAGAGTGGCACTATTAGGCCTATAGGGTATGGCCTTGGAGTGGGTGTGGCCTTGTTGGACACTGAGGTCTCATATGCTCAAGCTACACTCAGTATAGTTCACAATCTCCTTCTACTACTTGCAGATCAAGATGTTAAACTCTCTGCTCCTTCTCCAGTACCATTTCTGACGGCAAACCACCATGACGATAACGGATTAAACCTCTGAACTATAAACCAGCCCCAATTAAATGTTTTCCTTTATAGGAGTTGCCATGGTCATGGTGTCTCTTTACAGCAATAAAACTGTAACTAACACACCATTGGTAGGGAAGGTGTCACATATATTTTATAGCCTGCTGTTATCTTTGCCAAAGACTGCATGGTCCCCGATTCTATTCCACTGAGCTATGTACCAGTTTGTGCCAGTACCGTGGCATTTTTATTACTATGGCTCTATAGTATAACTTGAAGTTTTGTATGGTGATTCTGCCCCTACCATTCTGTTTGTTCAAAGTGTTTTTGCTAGGCTTGTGTTTTGTGCTGCTATATAAATTGTGAGGTTTTTTCCCCCTATGTTTATGAAGAATGATTACTGTAGGATGAAAATAAGGTTTAAATTTTATTATCATGAGGGACATATGCACAGCATTGCAAATGTATCAAGGTTAGGGTACAACTTTGTGGAGTTGGTTCTCTCCTTTCACACATATGTGGGTTCCAGAAATTGCTTATGAGCCACCCTGAGTCATCCCACAGTTCCATTTGGTAATATTTTAATTTGAAAATGTTTTAATAACTCAACAAAAAAATCACCCATGGCTTTAAGGAAAGTTGATGTGATCCTCTTTAAAAGTTACTTTGGAGTTGTTCAGAGTTACAACTCCAAGAAATCATCTAGAAAGCCATGAATTCAAATATGAGTACCCAAAGGCAGTCTGTCGGTGGTGGCACATGCCTTTAATCCCAGCACTTGGGAGGCAGAGGCAGGTGGATCTCTGTGAGTTCGAGACCAGCCTGGTCTATAAGAGCTAGTTCCAGGACAGCCTCCAAAGCCACAGAGAAACCCTGTCTCAAAATGCCCCCTCCCAAAAGATTACCCAAAGGCTAATAATCCACACTTAAAATTTTCAAACTGAATTACAGTGCAAGGGACACTCTTGGTTTCTTGCTTGCATGAGGTTTTTTTTTTTTTTAGATTTTGCTCCATGTTGCCCATTCCAGCCCTTGAACTTCTGATCTTCCTGCACTGGCATCACCAAACCTGTTTTACAATGGAAAACATGTACTCCGTTCACTCGAGATAGCCCCATCAGAAATTCCAATGACTTTGCTTACATTAAAAGGTGAAGATATTGTGAAAACATTTTACATAGTTAAAATCTTTATTTCCATTAATTTTATTAACTTCATTGAGACATACAATATATACACGACATGGTTCATTTGAACCATTTGGCTCATTGTGTTTTGGTATATTTGTAGCACTACAGAACCACCACTAGAGTAACTTCAGAAAAATTTATGAACTCCCAAAGATATTGTGCATCCATTAGCAGTAATTTTAGCTTCTAACAGTTAACAGCCTCAGACCACAAATCTACATATTCTATAATTTCACATCCATATCCAAATGATATGTGGCCTTTCCTGCCTGCCTCCTGTCACTCAGAACAGTGTCCTAACTCAGCATCATGTTACAACATGTGTCAATTATTTCTCATGGCTGAAAATTGACAACTGCATGTATATATACCACTTTTTGTTGATCTGCTAAGGCAATCTGGGTTGTCAATTTGGGGTTATTATGAATAATCCTACTATCCACATTTTGTACAAATTTTTGTTATACAAGGCAAAAAGTCAAAAGAGAAGAACTCTTTGAGTAGTAAGTACATATTCACTGGACTTTTCTCACAGAAGTACATTCAGAGGTATAGAAAACACATTTCTAAAATCTCACCAATAAAAGCATGAGGCAGATAGAGATAGAGAAGAGCTTTTGCAGACCGTTATCATCATCCTTGGTATCTCAGAGCAATCTCTTTGGATTTTAGGAGCGAATCACACTGAAATTAGATGCCAGTATGCATGGCACAATGCAGAAGGCTAACTCACAGCTTACTGATGTGGGGTCCTGCCAAGCTTTGCCATTCTTTCAGAGGGGGGTTTCCCTGGGCAACCAGCTTCCGCAGGTAGTCACTGGGCTCCAGCTGGGGGATGTCAGGGTTTTGTTTGTAATATTTCTGCAATTTCTCTAGAATTGTGGGCAAGCCAACTGAGGCAGCATAGAACATGGGCCCTCCAAAGTGCCTTGGCCACCCATACCCATGCAAGTAGATGACATCAATGTGCTCTGGGCTAGCAGCCATCCCCTCCCCTAAGATGCGGAATGCCTCGTTGATAAGGGCATAGATGCAACGCTCCAGGATCTCCTCCTTGCCGATGGAGCGCTGCTCAATGTGATGGGTTGCTCTATACTGTGACAGGAATGAGGAAAGCCAGGGATCAGGTTTATGAATCCGACCCAGTGGTTTGTCATATTGGTACCAACCCTTACCTGTTTTCTGACCAAATCGCCCATGTTCACAGAGCAGATCAGGAAGTGGGGAATATCTGTTATTGCCTCGCTTACGGACAGGAGTTCCTGGTGGCAAGGAAGGTCCAGTAAGGCCTTGCCCCTTGCGAATTTTCCAACCCACATCTAGCCCTGCCAGGTCAGACACTCTAAAGGGTCCCATTCTAAAACCAAACTCTTCTAAGACCCCGTCTATATCCTCTGGCTTACTGCCATCCTCTAACAGGAAGTACGTCTGGCTGTAATAGGGCATCAGCATTCGATTCCCAACAAATCCATGGCAGTTACCTACAACGACCCCAATCTTTCCAATCTTTTTTGATAAGCTCATAACAGTGGCAATGGTAGTGGGGGAAGAGTGTCGGCTCGGAATAACCTCTAGCAACTTCATGACATGAGCTGGTGAGAAGAAGTGGGTGCCAATCACCAGGTGAGGGCGGTTGGTGGCAGACGCAATCTCATCCACATTCAGGGCTGAAGTATTGGTACACAGAAAGGCTCCCGGCTTGCACAGGGCTGACAGTTCAGCAAAGACCTTCTTCTTCAGGTTCATATCTTCAAACACGGCCTCAACTACCAGATCCACACTTGACAGCTCCTTTATGAATGAGGAGAACCGAAGTTTGGGTCCCGCGGAAGCTTGGCCGCTCTGCTGCGTTTTGGATGCTTCCTTTTCCAAGATGGCAGTTATCATCTTCCTAGCAGCACCTAGCTGCTTCTGGTCTGACTCCACAGCAACCACAGGGATCCCAGCCCTTGCAAAAGAGATGGCAATGCCCCGGCCCATTGTTCCCAAACCTAGGAAAGAACAAAGGAAAGAAAACATGATGTGCCAAATAGGTGGACATTGGTACAAGGCATCTGTGGCAAAGTGGCCTTTTAAAAGATTGACCATGGGGCTGGAGAGATGACGCAGACTGCTCTTCCAGAGGTCCAGTGTTCAATTCCCAGCACCCACATGGTGGCTCACAACCATCTATAATGAGACCTGGTGCCCTCTTCTGGCCTGCAGGCATACATAAAGACAGAACACTGTAATAAATAAATCTTTAAAAGAATAAAAATAAAAGATTGACCCAAGCATAGTGCTGCTACTGTCACAGTGTGCTACTGATCATGCATGAGTCCCGGCTGCCGTCACCAAGTGTGTTGATTATGCATGAGGCCCTGACTTCTGTCCCCAGCACTAAAGATGAGTAAGAACACTAGGATTGGTTAGTGAACATAAATGTTCTGAGTAGTAGTTCATGCACTGCTAAGTGCTCCAGAGAAAATAAAACTCAGTAGGATTCACATTCATGTATACACACAAGCTATTAAAACTAGTGAACAAGCCCAGGAAGGCTTCAGGATGTAAAATCTGTATATAAAAGTCACTGCGTTCTCGTTAACATTTATTTCCCTGTGTGTGTACATCAGACCTCAGAAGAAGGAAAGGGGTGTACTCTTCTGTCACTGCCTGTTCCTTTGGAAACAGGGTCCTCTCTCTTAAGAGGGTAGGGACTTGTGTATTTTAACCTAGTCTGAAAGCCAGCAAGCCCCAGTGACCCTCCTGCCTTTGTCCCCCTTGGAGCTGCGGCTACATGGGCACTGGGGTCTAAACCCTGATGTTTCAAAGCAGGTATCTTAACTGCTGAGCTATCTCTCCAGCTCCAAATACATCCCCACACATTAGTAATGAACAATCTGTATGCAAATCAGAAAATAATTTTACCTACAATAACACCAAAACCAATAATACTCTTAAAGGGGTACATTTAACAAAGATGGCTTCTGCACTAAAATTAATGAAACACTATTGAAGAAAATTAAATAATGGCCAGGGTATTTAGTTCTTGGTGTTTAAGTGCTTGCATAGCATGCACAAGGCTCTGAGTCTGACATTGATAACAAGAAACAAAAAAATAAAGAAGGAAGGAAAGGGGGAGGGGAGGAAAGAAAGAAAAGGAACCAAAGAAGACCTAGGTAAGTCAAAAGACATCCACTGTTCACAGACCAGGAAACATTTAATATCAGAAAGACGAAATATCAAATTGATCTGTAGAACCAATGCAAACTCTGTGCCATCACAATTTTTTTGCTTAAATTAACAGTGGATTCTAAAATTCACACAGAAATGCTAGCAACCTAGGAGAGTCAAGACAGTGTTTTAAAAAATTGGAGAAGTCAGTCTTCCCAGTTTCAATAATTATGACAAAACTGTAGAATTCAAGGCAGATAGAGTCAACCAAGAGTCCAAAATAAACTCCACTCTTATGGCCCGTATGTGCACAGGACTGCTGCTGTTGAAACAGCCCTAGGGCTGACCCGCAGGATGGAGAGAGTTCATGTACTCTGGCAAGAATCAGCAAGAGCTAACATGAGCACTAAGTTCAACAAAGAACTTTGCATCCAATAGCCCCAAGCAAGCGACATTTGAAATGTGCTGTGATTTTTGTACACAGTGGTGCAGTTGCTCATATGAACTGACAACATGTCTGACAGCACTCACAAGACCCGCCAAAATCAAGCAGACAAAAATTCCAGCATGGGGGGGGCAGGGAGAAAGTCCAACCCCCAGCTGAAGGGCTATTGGCCTTTGTTGGTAGAGGGAGAGTTGACTTTCTTTAAGGATGAGCCCACCTTCCCAAGAGGCTACCCATGTCCCAGTAGATGGTCTCACACCATGAACACACTAGCAGCACTAAGAAGTCTCTGTGATTTTAAGAGAGAGAACACGTGAAGTTGGGGAGATAGCGGTGGGAGGAGGCTAAGGCAGGAATTGAGGGAAAGGAAACAGGGGAGGGCACTTGATCCAGTTTTCACCTGTATGAGATTCTCGGTTGATGAAAAGAAATGCGCCAGTGTGAGGAACGTACTTACCAAGAACGCCAACTGAGGAGACTGGTTGAGCAGACGCGGTTTTCCAAGATGCTCCAGAGGGAGTTGACCACTTATTTGCAGACTTTTCAGCAAAAAAGGCGTACTGCAGGGCTCTGGCCTGCCCCGACGCCTTAAGATACTTAATCAGCTTTTCTTCTTCCCTGATGCCCACTTCATAGGGGTGCTTCACAGAGGCCTGAACTGAACGGACACAGGTCTCCGGAGCCAGCCGGCCAGGGAACTGCTTTCGTACCTTGGCAATGGCTTCTGCGAAGATACTGTCCATGTTGGGCAAGCTTGGAACTGACTTATTTAAGATTCTGCGAGGTTCTACAGGTTTATCTAAAAGGAATTGCGAAAGATCAGAGCACTGCAAGTATAATACAAAGGCAACAGGACCCCACCACAGCCAAGCAATAGTACATGGCTCCAATGACCCAACTAAGACACTATGCATTGTTATTTAATGAAACACTAATTCCCAAATATGCTATCTTAGTAACTTCGGACCATAATGCAAAATTTAGAAGATCTAAACGATTAAGCTCCTAATCCAGACATGAAAAGTACATTCTCTTTTATTCTGAGGTCAAGAGAACTTTATAATAGATTAAATATCAATCTGTCAGTGAGTCCAAATATGCCAGTTCTTAGTTAATATCATATATTCAAAATTATTCACATTCCTTTGCTAATAATGACAAAACCATTTGGGGGGGTTTCCAGTGATGGAAAAGTCCTGTGAATATGTCAATAAAGCACTGTTGGCCAATAGGGAAGCAAGATAGGTGGGACTAGGAGTCCAGGAGGACTCTGGGAAGGAGAAACACAGGGAGTCACCATGTAGCCGCCATAGGGGTAAGAAGTCTGGACCTATTCTCTGGTAAGAGAAATGCTTAGATTAACAATTATGGAGTAAATACTTAAGTCAGAGATAGCCAGTAAGAAACAAGCAAAAGTCCAACAGCTTCATAATTAATATAGCGTCATGTGTGCTATTTGGGGACTACAACCTGGCAGAGCCCAGGCGACTGGTGAGGAAAAACCAAAGCGGCTGGCAAGGAAAAGGCTTCTCTCTACATTCTAGGCAGGGTTTCTCTGTGTATTCCTGGATGTCCTGGAACTTGCTTTGTAGACCAAGCTGACCTCAAACTCACTGAGATCCGCCTGCCTCTCCCAAATGCTGGGATTAAAGGTGTGGGCCACCACCACCAGGCTACGAAGCTTTTAAAAAACCGTAACGGATGGGAAGTAACATGATGCAATGGTTGGTGATGGAAAATAATGGAAAGTTCGTGGGTAAGTTCTTCCGACACGGAATTGATTATCCATGCAGGACAGAAGACAGTCAACAGGAGAAGAAGTCTTTTCCCCCAAAAGGAGATGGGGTAACTGGACACTCAGATGGGGTGACTGGACACACAGGTAGGGTGACTGGACACTCAGATGGGGTGACTGGACACACAGGTGGGGTGACTGGACACTCAGATGGGGTGACTGACTGGGCACGCAGTACTAAGTAAATGAACTGTCCCTTATGAAGTACACACCTCCAAATGAATCACAATTTTACTGAACTCCTAATTCTATAAAATTTTCTAGGAAAAACAAAACATAACAAAGGAACATCTCTGTGATCTTGAGTTAAGTACCAGAACCTTATGGTTCTGTAATTTTACTAAATGATTCAATAAAATGGTTTTAAAATCATATTAAAAACACAACAAATTAGTTACCAAAACTCACGACCATATAATGTGCTCTAAAAAAGGGTTACCATCTCAAGAATGAACCATTATGGTAAAAATGTACACCTAAGAGAGTTAGACAGAGAACCTGCTGAAGACATGGGGCCATCATAGAGGAGCACAGTCGTGTGACAGTGTGTGCTCAGGAGTGCCCAAGGGAGCAAGTGCAGGGCCTGGGCAGCATCATGTGCACTTGGGCTTCTGCAGTCTCCTCCCGGTTTTGGAAGCCAAACACGAGCCCATGACTTGAATATGCAAACATTAACTACTTGTAGCTGTGAGAAGGGCTTTAAGTGAATGCTGTCCTATAAGCATTTTCCAGCATAGCATGCAGACAGGGGTTAGCAGCCTGTGGCCCTCCTCACCCTGCTCCTTTGGAGGACCAGGAGCTACAGCCATCACTTATTCAATACATTAGCGCAGTCCTCAGTGAGGGGGAGTGGGGGGGTGAGGTGAGGTGATGGGGTGGGGGAGGACGGGGAGGGGGAGGGGACAGCTGAAGAAGATGAGGAGACCTGTGCGGTCTACAGTCAGTGTTATTCAGGGATGACAAATGAAGACAGTGCAATAGAAGACAGAACCGGAAGAGAACATGTGGGGGAGGGGCAAGTGGAAAAGAAAGGAGGATGGACGTCAGGGCTGTGGCCCCACCCACTGCAGACCGAGAGTGGCCCCACCCACTGCAGACCGAGCATGCTATCCTTGAAGCTGCTATTGTTCCCTCCGGGACTGGAACTGCCTCCTAACACCACTGCACACCCGAGTTCTTCCAAAAGTTTAAGTTCAGGTGGCTGCTGGCCATCACAGATGCAGTTTGACTGTGCTGCGGACATAGACAGGATGTGGCGACCTGAAGAACATTAGCATTTGACTTTGAAGCACAGTCCAGGAGCGGATCTTAGCCCTGGGAGTTACCTCTGGGGGACAGCTGCGGTTTCTGGGAAGTCCATCCAGACACCAAGGAGAAAAACATCACCTGCACAGTGCGCAGGCGCAGGCAGTGATGGGCAGCGGGCAACACTGGCCAGCTCAGCATCGGCTGCTGGGGAAAATAGGCCGGGATGAAGCAGCAGCTCCAACAGGCTAGTGGTCACGTCTACCCTAGGGTCTTCTCACAAGTTTTGACCAAACAGTGGGTCGTACTTCAGAGGGGCACAAACGCGGTCCTCTCGCCTACGCCCTTCTGCCAATGTGGCAGGAAGAGACTGTCGCTCTGGCTAAAGAGACCCAAGGCTCACATAAATTGCTTCCTCAGACACGAAAGACTACTTTCTTCTTACCCTGACCCAGGGTGCTGCACCCACAACTGCCCATCATCAACTTCAGCAAGACCACTCACGGGTGGGTAGCTCGTCAAGCGGAGGCCTCTGTGTGGGCAGGGTCACTCCATTCTTTAGAAACATGGCCGTACAAATATCCACTCCAAGTAAAAATAAATTACAACGGGCAAACGGTAAAATGAAGAGCAAGACCAAGGAAAGTGCTGAGAATTCTTAAGAGCCACAATAACTAACAGAAACAAGTCTTTGAACAGAAACAGCTGTTAGAAAAGGACCAGACAGGGGATAACGGGGGGGGGGGGATGGGGGAGGGCACGGGAGGAGGGGAGGGAAAAGGAGAGGGACCTGGAACTGACTTGTGAAGCAACCTTGTTTCTTATCTAAATTTTAAAAAAAGAATAAAAAAAATCATAAAAAAAAGAAAAGGACCAGACATCCAGGGCGAAGGACCTGAGCTCACTGCACAGACGAGAATAGAGCGTCAGAGAGAAGCATGCTGGTGTACCCTGTCACCCCAGAGCCTGAGACAGTGACACAGGAAGACTGGGCATTTGGCCCCCTGGGCTGGAGACTCTGCCTCCAAAACAAAAACCGGGGGCTGCAGAAATGGCTCAGTGGCTAAACGGAGTGCCTGCTGCTCTGCTAGAGGACCAAGTTGTGCTCCCAGCAGCTGTGTAGAGTGGCTCACAACCACCTGGAACTCCAGTTCCAGGGAATCTGATGCCCTCTTTGGCCTCTTGAGGCACTGCTCTCATTTGCACAAACCCGTAAAGATATACACATAATATAAAATATAATCTTTTTTAAATCCCAAACCCACAAGTGAGCCAGCCCCCTTGAGCATCCATTCCTGAGCCGAGACTCCTAGGTGGACACTCTGTGTGCCCAGCTTCACAGGGACGTGTGGTGGGGGTGAGTTCTCACCTGTAGGATGGCAAGTGAAAGAAGTGGCATTTTATAAGACCCCTCCCCTCCACCCCTGCACGTCCCTTCCTCAGGGGAGGCTCGGCCCTATCTCTTTCCCCTATCTCTTTCGCCTCTGTAGTCTGGAAGGTTTTGTATGTTAGGAAGATAAAGACGCTAATGAGCATAGTCAACTCTTCGGGATGCAGGGTTAGATTCGTAGAGAAAATGGACACCATGGGCACAAGAGCTCCCCAACTCCCTCCCGATCATCACTTGCTCCAAAATACTGCTACAATGGAAACCCTCTCCTCACTCCCGGGAGAGGGAAAAGTGAAACCTTTACATCTTTTTCTTTTGGCCTCTCAGTTCAACATTTGAGTAGTGGACGTGGCACTAGGCTGCAGGCTATGTGACAGAAAATCCCAACACGGTCAAGTTGGAGAGCTGTGGCTGCGCATCAGAAATAGCTTCAAAAACGTAAATTCCCATGCGTGTATAAACACACGTCGTTTCTGAACCTGACCATCAAGGTAACCCACCAGTTTTGTTTTGTCAAATGGTTATATACTAATAGCTACATTTAAGAGCAATTGAGAGAGGAAGCCGGGAGGCATCAGGAGAAGCACAGGGCCTCAAGGGAAGAGGAAAGTAGGCATTGCTGACTGGTGTGTCCTGCGAGACAGTCAGTCACAACAGGAAGACGCTCCGAGTCAGGCCTTGGTTGCTGCCCAGCTTTTCTACTCTTCCCTATTACATCTACCTTCAACAAGGAGGAAACTGGATCTCACATAGCCGGTAGCAGCCTTCTCCCCGCTGCCTCCATCGCAGCGGGCTGGGATTACAGAAGTGTGCTAACACACACGGTTTTATGACTGCCGGGATGGAACCCAGGGACCCCCTACATGTGAGGTAAGTACACTGTCACCCCTAACCTGAAATAGTAAGATCCAAACAGTTGTGCTCAGGTAAGACAGACACAAACACAACAGCAATTTAAAAGTTCTAGTATTTTCTGTGGGATTCTATTCACTGAAGCCCAAATCAGGCATGGATGTGTTTGGTTGTAGCAAGGACTAATTACTGAGGTCCCAACCAGCAGGGCCTTGGCTTTCTCAGAATGTGGCCCAAAGTCAACTGACTTTGTGGAGCTCTTCCTTTAGAGAGACAAGAAAAGGCAAAAGAAGAGCTGTTGCGGTCCAAGTGAGAATAAAGCCCATGTCCCTGATGTTCAGACCATTTCTGTATCACACTGAACCCACCAACACATTGGGCAGGCCTCTCTTTTTCCTCTGGGTAAATTCAGTGGCTTGGATCGTGGAAAAGAGCAATATTTTCGATTGTTTTATTTTAGTATTATTGTGTGTGTACAGATGGACATATGTATCCTGGTATGTGTGTGTGTGTGGGGGGGGAAATGTATGTCCTGGAATACTGGTGAAGATCCAGGATGGCAACAACCTATTAGTCCATCAGCTGCTAAAGACATTGTGCCTCAGTCATATGGAACACATTTCAGTAATGGAAAGCGGTCAATTGTTACATCAGACAACACAGATGAGTCTCAAAAAACACGCTAAGTGAAAGAAGCCACGGCAGAGTCCACACTACAGCTATATAAAATTCTAAAAACAGAAAACCATGCTGTCTTGGAGTTGGTAAGTGTCTACTGAATAGCCAAACAAAATGGAGAGCATCTACCAGGAGGAGCCAATACTTTTCGAGGTGAAAATTATATTGCCACTACACTGTGGCAGTAGCCACACAACTATTACCAACACTCACCAAACTCTACACTTAAATGGGTGAATTTCACTGGGCATAAAGGAACATCAGGGAACATTCTAACTGTTCTTCATCTGGATTACTACTTAAATGGAGAATTGTAAATAAAGTCAATATGATCTATACAACGAGGAAATACATAAAACAAAATGTAAACACATCCAAAAATTAGAAATATCTGGGCAAACTAGTATAGGCTAAGCTAGAAAAAAAATAAGTAAAACAAATGCTGGTGACATATCTCTGTCACACATGTGCAAAGCCCAGAGTTCAATTCCCAACGATCCTCTCCACAAAACAACACACACACAAACAAGCAGACAAACAGAAAACATACCACAATAAAAACAAAACGCGGATAGTAACTTTTGTGAAAAGCTCTTTTTAACTTGTCACTATCTCCTTAAAATTTTTATATATACTCATATGAATCCTAACTAGTTGTAAGTAAATTTTTATTGTTTCTTTTTTTCTTGGAATTGGAATCAAACCCATGGTTTCACTATGCTAGTTCCTGTCCCCCAAGCAGATCCTCACAGCTGAAACATTTGTATATCAGGACTAAAATGTAGAAAGTCACATTTAACTGTCGGTAGCGTTGGGGTGCCCCCTCGTGGACAAACTCCATAATGTTGCTGAGACTGGCCGCCATCTTGTTTTATTAACTTTCAAATTTAATGTTTCGAATTAACTTTAAAAGCTGAAGGGAGTAAACACCCCCAGACCATAAGTATTAGACTTTGGTCCTTATCCTCTGCTGGAAGTAACTCAACTCTCAAAACAGAATCCAGGGAGACCCATAGAAACCAAGACCAGTACAAACGGAAATCAATAGTGTGAGCTTGATTCTAAGAATGGCTTAGGGCGCTCTCTGCAAGCAGCCCTCCCTGGAGCACAGGGACACAGCGCTGTGACAGCAGCCTGGGAGACAGAGCACAGCAGGGATGGCGCTCCCAAAGCGACAGGACTTGCTGACACCCGCCAGGAGTTGGCAGTATTTCCCCACCAGTAAGTACCTCACCTTTGGAGTGTGAGTGTCACCTCCACACTGAAACCCGAACTAGCTGGGGGTGGGGGCACGAGAGCATAGAAAAGATTTTGGGAAAAGAAAGGTCACTGTCAGGGGCAGCTAACAGTCTTTCACAGGGATGTCTTGGAATGACCTGGAGCAGAGACTAGCACACACTCACTCCATTCTGCCTGGAGCCCAGCACTCCTCCTATGTATTTTCTTAGGCAACTTGCCCCTGCTCAGTTAGAGTATGTAGCCTCCCTCAACTTTCCCCAGAAGTTACTGAGTGGTTTTTGCTTCTATCATGATTTCTTGCAGGAAGGCTTTTGGGAATTGACTCTGCACTTGTCTCCCAGAGTTATGTCACCAGTCCCACTTTTATTTTTTTTCCAGCAAAAAGGCACAGTTTTAAGTAAACTCCCCCAAAGCAAAACAAATAAAAAGCATAACAATTCTGTAGGCGAGTACTAAAGGGACACTTGAAGGACACTGCTGGTCTGCACACCCAGCAGGGACAGAACTCACTTGTCCAAGACAGAAACTCCAGAAGCCACGCCTCTGGGAACACCTTGCAGGTCCCCTCCTCTAGTGGATCAGCTACATGTTTGTCCCCATGTTTCAGCTTAATTGTATGCTTCAACCAGAAAAACATGCATGACGCCTGACACCCCCAAGGTGCAGCAGAGCAGACTCTAAACCGTTTCCTTAAAACTTCAGCAAATGTCCAGTCCCACTCCCAGAGCAATCACTTTGTTTCCTGTGGAATGCTTCTGGAAGACCTCAGGCATGGACAGCATCTACGCTTGCCCACCCTTGGCATACATACCTTCTCTCCACTAACACCCTTCTTCTTGTTACACCATTAACAAAAGGCCACTTAGGATAATGTTCTCTTCATTGCCTAATGCAACATTACAACATACCATGGAGTTTTTGCCAGATCAATACAGCATTTAAAGCTTGGCTACATTGTACTACATGGATACCCCATTAGCTTTTTAAGGAGTCCCTCCTTAGAAAGCACATTTAGCTTATTCCCAATCTTGTGCCATTGTTTTAAATTATTGTTTACCCATAATCTTCTGGGCAAATCTGATGGCTTCTTCAACTGGATCTGACGTCACAACTGCATCCAGAATGCCAAACTTGAGGGCTTCACCTGCTGAAATATGTCTTCCTGAAACAAAAGGAAATAAAGTAAACCACTCAACAATGTGAGGATGATCCAAGGCATTGCTCTCTCTGGAGGGGAAGGTGGCCATTCCTGGATATACCAATTAGTAAGTAAAATGCATGGGATCAGCCTGACTGCTGTAGTCTTTGTTTTGAAACAGGATCTCACTGTAAGGATTCAGGCATTATGCTGGCCTGCTGATGTCACCTGACAGAATGCACTCAGGCAATACTCTGGTCAGCCCAGCGTTCCATGACTACTAGTCTGCATGCAGATGCAAAGGACCTCTTTAAAAGACAGACCCCTGTCCACTTACAGCTCTTATCCTCTCCTTTCTGCTCCTCTCTTTCTCTCTCTTTTCCACTACTCCCCTGGGGCAGACAGGAATTTTCCTGTCTCCCTTTTCTCTTCTGTCCTCTCGATGCGTTTTTGTGTCTCTTTACCTCTTTTCTCTTTCCTTTCCCCTCCCTCCCCTTTCTAATAAACCTTCTCACTTAAGCTCTGTCTGCCTGGCATGTTTGTCACCCGCCTCAGTCACCCTCACCTGCCAAGGAATCCACTAAGGTTCCCCTCCAGCTTTATTCTAACACTCACTATGTAGCTCTGACTGGCCAGAAACTGGATACACAGACCAGGCTAGCCTCAAACTCAGAGATCCACCTCCCTCTGCCTCCTGAGTACTGGGATTAAAGGCATGCACCACCATGCTGGGGCTGAACTGCAGTAGTTGAACATCACTACAGATGTAGCCAGGTCACTCGACTTCAAGCTGTAGCTCTAATTCTTATTATTAGAGAAACCATAGGGAAATGTACTAGGAATCAAATTCCACACCTGAAAAATGGAAGTAATTATGTTTACTATGGTAATTTTGAGTATTAGGTAAAGGAAAAGTGGTCTCTTTTTAGATACTCACAGAAGTAGAGAGCCCTGTACATCTCTACAGACGTGTACGGACTGGTTGAGTTTTGGGCTGTGATAGAAGTGGTAGCCACAGATAGACAGGGCTATCTACCGTTTGTCTACCACATACCAGGACCTGTACTGATCCAGAGACAGTCCCCATACAGAGCTAGTTGGCTGATCGGAGAAACCATGTTGATTAAGTTGGCATTCCATTAAGTACAGTGAAAATTACATAGGAGGAATTAGAAAGAGTTTTGTCTCTTTTTGGTTATCTGGCACCTTGACCTTGCCTTGACCTTGACCTGTGGACTGTCCACTGGGCAAACTTGAAGCCCTGATTCCTATGGAGGCTGAGGAGGAAGTAGATACCATCAGACAACTGCTCCTTCAATGCCCTGGCAGTGAAGTGTGGCCCTTACGGTCAAGCTTGGTGGAATCAGTACTCTGCCGAGGTTTTCTCTGCCACTGCTTCAATGATAGCCTTCCAGACCTCCTCATCCAGTGAGGAGTGTGGGCAGGTGAATGATGCCATGTGTCCTCTGGATAAGGACACATGGGTGAGTGTAAGTGAGCCTGCTTAGGCAGGGCAAAGAGACCAAGGCATAGAAAATGAAATCCGGGCACTACAGAGATCTCTGGGGCAGTAAGGCAGGGGAGTGCGAGCTGCCCATGGGAAAGGATGGTTGTTGTCAAGTTCTGGAGTCTCAGAAAGAACACCGTAGCTGCGTCTTCAGTTACTAATGCCTTAACGAAGGCCCAGCTCTGCTCCAAACGACCACTGAGGAAACACAGCCCTGCATGCTGAACCCGAAGTCCCCCTGCTGACTTTGTTCTTTCCTGGGTCACGCACAGTGTAGACTGGACCTCTGTCTAGTGGGCTGTAACCCCAAAGCGCAGGAAGATGAGCTGCAGGGAGACCCCAAAGTGACTGGAGCAGAGAGTGCCTCTCACATGTTCGACTCTGAAATGTGTCTTTCCAAATTTCTCCAGGAATTTTTCTCAAACGGAACCTTTCTGAGATGTCATTTTAAAGCCAACCCAGGGCCACCAGATCACTCTGTCCACTGAGGGAGACAGGGGTGTGATTCCTGCGCCAGCTTGCTTGCTGATCCACAGGGGCCTTCGCCATGCAAATCAAAACTTGTCGATCTCGGAGTTTATGCTCGTTCTCATCACGCTAAAACAGCAGCATCTTCTGAATCAGAGCTGTGGGCAAAACCCAACCAAGGCCCCTTGTGTTTCTTCCTGATTTTTCTCAAGGCACTCTTGCCTTCCTGACGAATGTCTTCACTTTCCTCACAGGCCTAATCCTGCAGACCTCAGGGCTTGTAAACCCAGTCCCTGCCCCGTTATTCCCTCACACACTTTGTGCTTCTGTTTCCGGTTTGCCTTTGCTTTGCGCTTCTGTAGGATGCTGAATTACAGGCATTCTCTGAAAAAATCCAAACCACCTCCAAAACTTCATGGGCTTTTGAAATATGTTTGTCATTAAACAGTGTGTAAATTGATTATTTGAGTGAATTTCAATTCAATACATCTAGTTCTTCTAAGTTTCCTTTCACACACCTCATTTGAAAGAGCAAAGCTACTTTTAATTCATATAGGCTATTGGTTTCTATGTTTTCGTGTCAGTTTTTTTATGAGAGCATATAGATCTCTATTATTAATTCTAAAAAATCCATCTTTTCACATTCTTAGAAGTTATGAAAGACTCCAAAGAGCTATTATTTATGTAAGTTGTAGCTGTCAATATTTCGTCAGTGGAAATTAAAACTGGGAACCTTAGAAAGGTTTATGAATGAAATAATTTTAAAACGATGATCAATTCATGACATGTTAACACAAACTTTTCATTAAAATAACTGAATTTTAAACCTCTGCTTGTTTATTGCTCATTCATCAAGACATTGTCTGCAAATGGGAACATCATCTTAGTTTTACTTAGAAAAAGACACAGCAATATCAGGCTAGAGCTAACAGATAGTGAGTTCATACCAAGTGTAATCTCATCGTGTTAACTTACACAGTCTTTACATCAAAAGACAGAAACAGCAGTATTAGGCTAGAGCTAATGGACAGGGAGTTCATACCATGTGTCAGCTTGCTATGGTAGCCTACACAATCTTCCCATCACCCTCTCGTGTATGCTGCTGAAAAGACCACCCACAGGCTCACGATGAACCACACTTGTTTGGAGTAAATACTTGTACATGTCCTGTCTTTAAACCTCACCTCAATGGAAAGTCAAGTTCAGGTTGGTTCATAGTCCTCATTCAAAAAGAAAAACTTTCATTTTAACTATTATCGTAATACCTTGAAAATGAATAATTCAATCGCTGGTACCTAAACTCAAATTCTAGTTTTAATCTTTTAGGTATTATGCCCATCCTTCTCTCCCTCCCTTCCATGTAGCTAAGGCTAGCCCTGAACAGAACACACTGTATAGCTGAAGATGAGCCTGAACCCCACATCTTCCTCCTTCTGTTTGCTGAGGGTTAGATTTTATTGTTACCAGTCATCACATCTGGTTTCATGCATTGCCAAGGAACCAACTGTGGTGGACAAGCACACTGTCAACTGAGCTATACCCACAGCCCCAGACATTCAACTTTCTCATGCATAATTAGGGTGGTCCCTATATGAATATGTAGTCTACGAGTAACATAAACTACAGTATGACCCCAGAGGGGCTCTTTGCATGCACTTTTCCTTTAGAAAGCTCTTACAAGGGTTCTTCATGGAAACAGTTGGGACGTGCTGAGGCAAATTACTGTATCTGTTTTACAGATGACAAAATTTGGAGTCAGAGAAACTAAAATAGGCTCCTTAGAACCTGTGTGCGTAGTAAGTGACCAAGACCAGACTTTCAAGACTCTGGCCTTGTTCTCCACATTGATCCAAGTCATAGCTGAGGTTTCTACTGACCTGAGGTAATTAAGTCAAGGGCAATGGGAACTCCAATAAGTCTGGGAAGAAGCTGGGTTCCTCTCGCACCAGGAAGAATTCCCAGTGTGACCTCTGGAAAGCCAACACGAGCCTACAAGACATTAAAGGCAGAAAGGCCACCATCATGAGATCTTGGGGCGCCCAGGACTTCCCACACCATAAGAAACAACTACATTGAAATCAGCAACAGTCTGTAGAGGGCACACGTGTCTGCTGTCTCCCATAATAACACGAGCAGAGCTGTGGCGTTTTCACACATCCTTGCTTGGGCACACTTCTTTCTTTGACTCTATAAGTAACCCTCTCAGATAACAAAGTAGTCTTTGCATTTTCAGGGTCCCTGCAGGCATCAGAATGTAAAGACAAAACCCCGAGGCTGGGAGAAAAACAGTACAGAACTTCCCATATCTCCACTCTACAAAGAACGTTCACAACTTAACAATAAATGGGCAACCAACTAATAATGGGCTGATTATCTGAATAAACAACGCCCCAAAGAAAGGACACAAGTGGCAAAGGATGCTCGTGTCATTAGCCATTGGGGATGTAAAACTAAGCTACAATGAAACACATGTGATGCCTGCCAGAGTACACATAACAAAAACGGCAGGTGCTCATTTTGGCAGCACATGCGCCCAAGCTGGAACAATACAGGGCTGATTAGCATGGGAGCTGCCAAGAGTGACACACATGTCTGTAAAGCACTCCATATTTTTCAATAGGGAGGGGAACATTGGGGTTCAAGTGTTTTGAAGGGGGAAATAGAAAAAAGGGGGAGTTTTAGTTAGGAAAGGGGAAGGAGATTAAAAAAAACAGAATAATGAGGAAGATAAACTAACAGTAAAGACGTCTAAAAAAGAGGCTCAGCAGTTAAGAGTGCTGGCTGCTCTTCCAAAGGACCTGGGTTAAATTCCCAGCACCCATATGGTAGCTCATAACTGTCTGTATCACCAGTTCCTGTGGATCTGACTCCTTCACACAGACACACATGCAGGCCAAATGCAAACACACACACACACACACACACACACACACACACACGCACACGCGCACACACACGCACACACACACAATGTCTGAGCAAGTCATAACACATCATACTATTATCTCTCTACCAAGAATTATACATAACACATATGAATCTGTGTCTACGTGTGCATAGGTAGTTTAAAAGGTATTTTCCCATGTGGGCTGACAATGCTACCCCCCAAGAGTCATAGACAATTTAACAGAAACCCAGACATAAGAAGTCCTGTTTGAGTTGGTCAGGATTGTCGAGAGACTCCCAAAACCCTACAAAACATTGTGGTTACCTTTGGTTGCCTCCCAGAGGGGGAAGGAACGTCCCTATTGCTGAAGACACCGTGCACTTGAGACACAGGGCCCAGAGGCTGTGGAGCTGGAATTGACCCGAAAGCCTCCTCCCTGAGAACTATCTTTCATGGCACCACAAGTTTCCAAGGAAGGGAAACAACTGACAAACCATAACAAGCGTCATGGGTGCAGTAGCGGCACCCACATCTCCACGGTAACCAACAGCTCTCTAATTGGACTTCAAGCCTGCTCAACAAAAGGGAAATCAAAAGGGCAGCCTACTACCCTACTATCCCAGTTCCAATGGACACATCTACAAAAGAACGCTGGAACGTAGGGCTCAGGGAACACCGTGGAAGAGGCGGGCAGGAACCAAACAGCCGGGCCCCAGAACCCAAGATGCAAGAATCATCCCGCATCAGCCAGTGTCCAAAGCCATCAGTCTCAGGCCTGGTCCACCTTACAGTTTGCACTGAAGACAAGCCCTGCCCTAACCCCACCCCTGGGAGCCTCTTACCTGTGCATTGGCAATCCGATAGTGACAGCCCAAGGCCAGCTCTAGTCCCCCTCCAAGAGCCACGCCTTGGATAGCAGCCACCAGTGGCTTCTCGCATCTCTGCATTTCGTCTACCACATCTCCCAGCCTGAGGCCAGAGGAGGGAGAACTGAAGATGCGAATATCGGCACCTAAAGACAGACAAGAGGAGGTGGTTGGGGCCTTTGTCACTGACACCAGGGGATGCAGCAGTCTTAGAAGGCTAGGACGCCCTGGGTCTGAGAGGTGCTGTATCCTCAGATAGAAGCGTCAGTAATGCCTAGTGTTTCTATGGGGCATCATCTATTCTTTGACATCAGTAAGCTTGGTATAAACTTAAAATGAATCTTTTCGGGACTGAGAGTACAGCTCTATTGCAGAGCGCTGGCATAGCACGCAAAACCTGTGTTCAGTCCACAGGACAGCAAAGAAATTTAAATTGAAAAGAATAATTTTGCATTCAGCACATTATCTGCTTCCTTTCCGTCTTTTCTACCTGCTCCTCATGGGCTTCGTGTGCCTACACCAGGCCGGTACCGCATGGTCCCACATGTCGTCTCCTTTAAGTTTCCTGCCAACTCAATTATGTAGTATGACCCTCTGCATCACCAGTGAAAATTTAAGGTTTTGAGGTATTAAACTGATTGACCAAGACAGCAACTATACTAAATTACAATAACTCGTGAAATAGAGATCCCAACCCAGGCAGCCAGGCTACAAAGTCCGCATCTCATGTAGTCTTTTAATCACACAGTTAACAGCGTGGTCACAGAACTTCACAGGAACCAAAGGTAAGGGTGTAGCAATTTCATTTTTTGGAGAAAACAGTTAAATTTTGAATACTGGTTTAATGTCTAGAAGTTTTATTAGATTCCCTTCTTCTTTTTTTTTTTTTTAACGAGACAGGGTTTCTCTGTATTGTTTTGGAGGCTGTCGGTCCAGCCCGGCCTTGAACTCACAGAGATCCGCCTGCCTCTGCCTCCCGAGTGCTGGGATTAAAGGTGTGTGCCACCACCACCCGGCTATATTCCCTTCTTAATTACAATGAATTTCTGATGAATGATTTTGCTATTCCTGCTGTATCTTTGGATAATGAATTGTCTTTTAATCTTCCTCCACAACCCCTACACCACTGATTTATTTTTCTAGTTCAGTAGGAGGCAAAGGGTCTAAGTCCAAATGGGTGAAGCTCAGCCTTCTCTTCCTCCCACGAGGAAAGCTTCCTACTCAGCATTTACTTGCTTGCTATGGGTCTTGTAAACATCCTCAGATCTAGCTGAGTAAAAATTCTTATGCTAACTTCTGCTGGATATTATTTCCCCTGCATTTCTTGAAATACTCATATCATCTTCTACTGGGATAAATAACACTGTTAGAGTGTTCTAGGATTCATATGTCTAAGACAAGAGTGGTTGTTACACCTTTTATATAACAGGAGGTCCTGTTAGAAAACAGCAAGATTAGGGCTGGTCTATCCTTTTGACTGCTCACACTGCCCTGGTCAGGTACTGGTTTAAGCTCAGGTTAGCATCAGCACAAACTGAGACAGATACTTGCTGCAACATCCACAGAGTATCTGTGAACATCATCTGACTTGGAAGCAGAGCCTTTGCAGATCCGATCAAGTTCAAAAGAGGTGACACAGGGGCTGGAGAGATGGCTCAGCAGTTAAGAGCACTGGCTGCTCTTCCAGAGGACTCTGGTTCAGTTCCTAGCACCCACATGGTAGCTCATCACCATCTCTTAACTCCAGTTCTAGGGGATCTGATGCCTTCCTCTAGCCTCTGCTGGCCTTGAATGCACAGGGTACAGACACACATGATGGCAAAACACTCATATACATAAAGGAAAATAATGGAGCTTTTTAAAAAGGAAAATATGTAGTACTTGGCAATGAGGAGCTATCTAAGAGCAGGGAACTTCAATGTGGACCTGCTGGGAAGAACTCATGTGAAGACGGGAAGAGTGGGCAGGAACCCTTCCAAGGCAAGGATTGACAGCACCAGGCACAGGAAGCCAGAAGGGACAGGCAAAGCTTCTCCCCAGATCCCGAGGAAGAGGGGCTCCGGGTGCCACATCACGAGGTTCCAGCCTCCAGAACCAAGGAACAGGAAACCTCTACTAATTCAAAATAGATTATGAACACTCAAGAGGCAGAGACAGGCAGATCTCTGTGAGTTTGAGGTCAGCCTGATCTATATAGCAAGTTCCAGAACATGGGGAAACCCTATCTCCAAAAAAAAAAAAAAAAATGAAAGAAAAAAACCAGTTTATGGAAAGTTGTTACAGCGGCCTCAGGAGACTTAGCCAAAGAAGGTTCCAGGTCCCTTCTCTCTCCTTCCTAAAATGTTTTGGTAAACTTGGAGTAGCATTAACTTTGAATTTTTGGGGCAGTTTGCCACCAAGGCTTAGAATTTACTTTGTCACTGCATTCTCTAAATTTCTTGATATTTTATCATTTATGTCTGACTCAAAGATTAAAAAGGAATTCAGTTTTCAGACAAAGGAGGAGCTCTGTTTGTGTTTTTGCTATTGATTTGCAGTCTGGCTGGAAGATTTTTAAAAGAAGTTTACAGAGACAAGCTCAGTGTACACTGGGAATGTACTTATGGCCTTGAAACCGTGAAGCACTCCACCACTGAATTATACCCCCCAGTATTTTTTGAGACAGAGTTTCTCTGTGTATTAGCTATGGGTCCTGGAACTCACTCTGGTCTCGAACTCACAGAGATCCGCCTGCCTCTGCCTCCCAAGTGCTGGGGTTAAAGGCGTGCGCCACCACTTCCCACCAGTTCCCAACCTGTTTTTGTAAGTATTGCTGATGTGTTTGAAAGGGTGCCTTTCCCTATTTAGAGATGCACTGTCCTGCACAGGTCCACTAGTCCAGCTGGGTCATTTCTGATACTTCGCTAAAAGCAAAAAACTTCGGCTCAGGAACTTGCACTGCATTCCAATTTTCTCCTCATCATCACACAGAAAATCAAGATCTCGGTGATTCTGAGCCCCCTTCCGGTCTCAAATCATCACCACGGTGTTCAAGCTTTGGACTCTAGTGAGAAAGCCATTTCACAGCGGGCCTAAAGTTGATGCATTGTTTTAGTCTGTCTCTGCCTCGGCCTTCATCGTCTGGATTTGCTGAACATTACAACTTGTGTGAGATCGTTACCGATTTTTAAATCAGGAAACAATCTCTATGGTGTCGATCAGGCAAGGAAGCTGTGATTATCATGGTGGACGCTTTTGCATTGTTTCTTATCCTGGCTCTAGCGCCAGTGTATTTTCAGGTTACCATTTACAAACACCGAATGTCTGTGGTCTGGAGAATTCCCACGGCCCTTATTTCTATGTGACTTCCGTCAAAGTGTTCAATATATTCATTTTCAGGATGGGGAAAGAATGAGGTGCCATAAACTACGTGGGATGATTCAATACCAGATACTTTGGCTAAGCTGTGCATTGTTGTACAGTGACCAAGCAGAGCGGTGCCGTGGTCCCTTTGGGGAAGGGCCGCCGGAATGAACTTTATTTTACTTCATGATTCTGTGAATAAAATGGCAATGTTTCCTGAACTTGTTCTGGGTACAGGCACTGACAAGACTGCTCAGCCAGGGCATCTCATTAAATCCCACACAATGCCATTCGGCTGCAAACTACAGCCCCTGTTCTATAGGCAGAGAAAATAAGGTAAGGCTGTCAAAGAGACTGGCCCAAGCCCACACAGGGAGAAGGGACACGCGCAGAGCAGACACAAAGCTAGTTTATGGCAGTAGCTATTGGCTCTCAAGGCCGGAACGGAACGTTCTCCAGAGTCCAGTCCACATAAAAGAGACAAGGCCCGCCGGGCGGTGGTGGCGCTCGCCTTTAATCCCAGCACTCGGGAGGCAGAGGCAGGCGGATCTCCGTGAGTTCGAGGCCGGGCTGAACCGATAGCCTCCGAAACAATACAGAGAAACCGACAAGGCCACAGTCCTGTCTCTCTCGGCAGAGGTGTCCCTTCACCTGTGATGCTTCTCACTCCAGTTGTCCCTTGATCTTTACACTCACCGGCTTCTGACTCACAGGGACAGCCTGTGCACTGTTGCCTGTGGCCTGGGCATAGTTCTAGAGGTAATGGGAAAGATGGAGACAGCAGTTACCTGCGCAGAAGTTGCCATTTGCCCCACAGACCACAATGGCTTTAATTGTGTAGTCTGAGCAGGCTTTCTGAAGGCCCTCTCTTATTCCGCTGAGGACAGCTGAGCTGAAAGATAAAAGTCCATGAAGCAGATTAGCCAAAATTAAATTTCTATGATCTCGCAGATTTTCCTTTACCAGTGATGGGTAAAACAATACAGGTTCTCACCACAGAACTTTCACTATTAGTTCAATAGATGATTTCATCTACTGTCAATGAAGTGCTGAGCCGGTAAAATAAATCCTCTTATGAGCAATTGTCACTTTCCTCCACTGCACTCTAACTTCAATCACGAGTAACCAGTTTTAAAAGCATTACACATGCTATCTGTACAAGCACAGAGTTCCTGGTGAGTATGCGCAGCTCCCATGTAGCGTGTGCAGGAAGAGAGCTGTAATAAGGCTGCGAAGAAGGGCGTGTAGAAGTTTGCAAGGGACACAATTCCTTCAATTTCTCATACTTGCAAAATGGAAAAAGATAAAGGAGAGGCTGCCTAGGAAACAAGGTAGGGCTGCTAGTCATTTCAAACATCCATCCCCCCCCACCCCACCTGCTTCAAAGTATTTACACCTGCTTCTTAGATGGCTCCATGGTGACTCAGAAAAAGACTACATTTCCCAGCATGCTTTACAGTACACTCCACCCCGTGAGCTAAATTCTATATCTGATATGTGCAACTTAGAGAAAGATTTCTGGAAAACAATGGGCATGATTTTTTCCTATTTTTCTTTCCTTCCCACTCCTGGCAATAATGCAGATGAGATGGACAGACAGAACTACCCTCCTTGTACCAAGAGGTAGAAGGCATGCAGAAAGCTGGCAGGCAAACACTGCCGATTAGCTAGCAGCTGTGTTCTGGACACTGCTGTGAGAAAAGCTAGGGGTTCCGGTTTAATTCACTGTCAGTGAGACTTTTCCCTAATAAATGTAGGAGGAAGAGACAAGGGCAAAGAAACGTTGGTCAGGTGCCACAGTACCAGGGAGGCGCCTACAGGAAATAAAACTAAACCCACGGGAGGATGCAAGCCAAGGGTAGATCCTTCAGATCTGTCTCCACTCGAGAAGTAGGGAGAGAATTTGCTAAGGGATTAGGACGGTGAAGCTGGTGAGCTTAGGAAAAATCATGGGGTGACAGATGTAAGGAAACTCTAACCAGTTTGGCTTGGGATTATATGTATTGGGGTAGATTCTTCGTTCTTATGTATACAACATGAAAATTTCAAACCAAATGGGAAAAAGTTACGAAAGATGTGCTGAGACTACAAAGACAAAAACTGGAGCCAGTAGATACCCGCCTTATGCATGAGTGATAATTACCTTTCACCCAGTTACTTTTTACCTAGACACAATTAAATAAAATCTCCTGCTCCTGATTTACTAATAGGAAATCAAATAAACAGAATCTGAGCCATTACATAATACCACAAAATCCAAAAGGAGCGAGCAGTTGTCGTTTGGTTTCCGGGGCAGAATTACCTCGGGATGCACCGCCCCCCAGCACAACAAAACCCTCCACGTTCAAGTCCAGCAGATAAAAGACTGCAGGGCTCACGTACTCCATGCAAGCCACATCTCCTAACGACTAACAACAACCCATGTGCATGACTCACAGCACACTGTTTATGGAACAATGACAAGATTTAAAAAGGGTGATGTCCTTCCTGGGAACTCAACATTTGGTGACAAAACACCATTTTCTGTCTATGGTATGGAACCTAGAGCCAAACTCTTTCCCTCTGGACTTCCCTGTCCTGGAAGCCAGTGAGGAGAGGACTGAGGTTTCACATTACAGTCATATGTCATCTTTTATTCATACTCCTGTTCATTTTGAAAACTCACAAACAGAAAAAAAAAAGAAAGAAGAAGAAAACAAACAGAGTTTGACCAGGGCCAGCTGAGGGGGCATCATGTCTGTCTCCCAGCTGGGACAATGGGTCCTAAGAAAACGTGAAAGCCATGGTCTGCTTCCCTCCTATGGAACTATTAAAAGCAATAACAGCAACAAAAACCCAAGCAGAAAAGATATAAAGTTTATTAAATCAAATGTGTTCAAGTTTCAGGAAGGAAGGAAAGAAAGAGAAATGTGTTGGCAGTTGCTAGGGTCTCCTCTTATGAGGGTGGTAGTTTTAGAAATGTGAAAGGCATTCTTCTGGGGAAAGACATAGAAATACCCTATTTCTCCAGAGACCCTAGGCTTCGACTAGAATAGGAAGAAATTTGGCTAAGCCAGCAATTAAGGATGTATAATACTTTGGGCGGGGGAGTGAAAAAAGAATGATTTAAGTAATAGCTCAGTAGGCAATCATGGTAGCTCTCACCTTTAATCTCAGCATTTGAGAGTCAGAAGCTAGTGGATCTCTGTGGGTTTGAGGCCAGCAGGACTACATACTGAGATCTTGTGTTAAAAAAATGTGGAGGGACTTGAGAAGCTAGAAAGATAATTCCCCACAAAAATTAAAAACAAGAAAGAGCAAAAGTACAAAACAAAGAAAAACTGGGAATGTATTTCACTTGGTGAACAAGCAGGAATGTGGTAAATCACGTTCCTTAATATAAACAGAAGGAAAACACCTTACAACAGAATAACGGAGTCCGTAGGGAGTTAAAGCAGGGCTTTTCCTTGACCTGGTAATTATCTTTTACCTCCTTATTTCTTTCCTTTGACCTTTTGACTTTGGCTGGTTAATTGGAAATGGAATCCTATCCTGAAAACAGATTCTGAGCCATTAGGTCACAGGCACGTGCAGTTGATGTGGGTGTCCCTCCAGACACCACTCTGGATTGAGAAAATCTCCACATGTGGAGGTCTATTATAGGAGAAAAGTGAATTGGCCACATGAAACCTACGGCCACTGCCATCTCTACACTACTCAGAATTGGAAATATCCTGGGAAAGGTGGTTATGCATAAATGGAGAGAAAGTCTCCCCGTTTATCAGGGCCTCGGGCACCCTGGGAGTAGTTACTTTTTGTTGTTGTTTGTTTGTTTGTTTTTATCTGTGCTGCCTGAATGGCAGATGGGACACCCAGCGATACAGAAGGCCACAGTATTTTCCTTCCAGGTAAAGAGTGGCAGCCAGTGGTGGCTCACATTTGTAATCTCAGGATTTGGATGCTGAGGCAGGAGGATTCTTATAAGTTCAAGACCAACCTACATGATAGAGTGAAATCTTGGTTCAAAAATCCAGAGCAAACACCACCAACAACTCCTCATACAAGGATGAAATACCGGCCTCCACCAAATCACTTTAGCCGGTGCCTCCAGAAGAGGCAGGTGTCTCCTGTTCAAACCACATCTCTCTCTTCATTTATGTTCTGGTTAACATTGAAACAGTCAAAAAACCAGGAATGAAGAGAAAGGATGAGCGGCTATACATAGGGAAAACATTGTTACTAGATATAGGAGCTGAGGGTAGGGGTAGAGGGATGGGGGGTAGGAAGAGATGAAGGGGTCTGCAGAAAAGACAGCGTTTCCTGAGTGCAAAGCAAAGGCTTCATCTTTGGCCATATCACGTGTTTCCCTGTGGACAGCTTTTAAAAACTAAAATCAAAGTTCATCAAGTTTGAGGTTTATAAACCAATATCTCTCCAACATAAAAGAAAATCAGACAGTCCAAACTAACCTCTAAATGTGGCTTTGTTTCCCAAAACTGTGGTTTCGGTAATGCATTAGTGTGTGTGTCTTCAGTTCCAAAGTAAACCATTGTGTTTTTAACTATGTGGATTACAGTGGCAGGGTGGGCGGGAGTTGGGTGGGGGAATAAAACTACTGTGTTCCCAGGGCCGGGCCTGGTAAGCAACCAGGTGTTAAATCTACACAATGCCAACAGGCACCCAACCAAACTCAAGCAAATGAGTCTGGTTAGACTCAATGAAAGATTTAAACTATTTCTCTGGGTAAATACCAAAATTAGTCCAGTAAGCATGTTTATGAGTTACCTTTTCTCCAGTTACTGTTTACACTTGAACCTGGAGGAAATAAAATAAACCCCCTAGATTTTGACTGGTTAATTAGCAGTCAGATCATGACACAGCTTGAGAACTGTTACATAACATCCAAAAGTCCACAAAGCATACACATTTTCCTCTGCATAGGTTCCCAGAGACCCTCTCCCCCACAGGACCTAAATCCTCACATAGTGAAGTCCCCCATAGAAAATGAGATAATATTCATATTTCCACGAATCGTCTCTACAGCTCTTAACCTAGAAATGTTATATAAATATTTGTTAAACTGCATTACTAAAAAAACAAAGACAAGGGAAAAATAATCTGTGTTCATTCGGGAAACTTTCATGGCGGATATGACTGTTTCCCACCCAGGGTGGCTGAATGGCAGCTGTGGAACCCAGAGGGCCGGGGTTTTCCTTCTGTGTAAAGTGTCACCCCCAAACTGAGTGGGTGCCTCTCCAGGGTGGGGCGCTGCTTCTTCCCACTTTATCTAGACTCTCCACTTTTACTCATGGTCTTGGTAATTTGGGCGGAAATTCATAAATAGGAAAAACTGGAAAAGGAAAGTGGCTTTGTTTTGTTTTCTCTAGGTTAAGAGGAGAACAGTGACTAGGGAAAATGTAATTGTTAGACATGGGGTTCCTCTCCAGTGTTCCCTGAGGAAGTCTCCAGCTTCAAAGAATCAGGAAGCTCAGGAGGGAACACATCTGCCATACTGGGAAGAGGCCAGCAGCTAGGAAGTGTGTCCTCCCCACCACACTGCCAGAGGAGAGGACAGAGGGAGGAGAGGAGTGCTCACTGAGTGAGGGCAGAGAGAAGAGAGGAGAGGAGTGTTCACTGAGGGAGATCAGTGTTCACCGAGTGGTGACAGAGGGAGGGGAGAGTTCCTGAGTGCCCACTGTGTGCTTCAAGTTCTTTGACTACAGCTGGCTTTTCATTTTCAACAGTTAAAAAAAATACAGCCAGGCAGTGGTGGCACACGCCTTTAAGCCCGCACTTGGGCGGCAGAGGCAGGCAGATCTCTGTGAGTTTGAGGCCAGCCTGGTCTACAGAGTGAATGCCAGGACAGCCAGGGCTGTTACACAGAGAAACCCTGAGGGGCCAAAAATTAAATTATTAAAAGTTTAAAAACTTGGACCCTAAATCTATACAGAGAAAGGGAAACTTTAACTCCTTAAATCAGGAGTGCCAAGGCTGGCGCCTGATTTCTAAAGAGACTCTGTCTTGATGAATGAGGTGGAGAGCCATCCAGGAAGACTGGATGTCAACCACCAGCTTCCATATTCATACGTGGGCACATAGGTGTAAATATACCCTCACATACACATGTACATTTGAACATGCATGCCTGAACACCACACCTATATATACAAAGCAAGGCAGAGTGAAACCCAGGATTACATTTATGAGTGCTACCTTAACCTTTCAGCTTCCTTGACCCTAGCATGATCTTCCCACTGGAATTTTTTTGCTAGTGTTACTTAAACCAAAGTTTATCAAATCAAATTTGTGATCTACAACCAGCTCTTTTTTTTTCAAAGAAAGAAAGAGAAGTAACACTAGAATATTCCAAAATCTATAACATATCAGGATAGGCTAGGTTTCAGAAAATTATTTTAGTTATACCATGTAAATGTGTGTATGCATCTTCGGATTTTATGTACTTAATTCAAATTTAAGAGTTTCTGTTTAACTAGGTAGCTTAGAGTAATAAAAAATGTTGAAAACCATCACTCTGTGAGACAAGCTCAGTAATCAGCCATGTTCTACAATTATGAAGAAACTTTACTTTCCCAGAATGGAGGGATACATGGCTGCCTACTCCAGTAACAAGGGATTGTTAATTAATTGGGAAAAAAGAGAATTAGACAAGTTATCATACCTCATTTATGTAGAGATAGCTTCCTGCATAAAATTAGAAAGAAAGAAGGAAGGAAGGCAGGAAAGGAAGGAAGGAGGGAAGGAAGGAGGCCAAAAAAATTAAGGTAAAAAAACAAGGAAGCCGTTAGAGTTGGTAAGCAATTGACGTGCAGTTAAAGTTCAAAGTAAAAGAGACGGGGCTGTGCAGGGTATAAGATGAATCTCTACGAGGCTGAAGCAGCTGCCGAGAAAGGGGCCACTGCAGGCGACTGACCACAGGCTGCTCAGAGATGCAAGGATGACCACAGGTGGGTAAAGTCATTTACAATCTCCATTTCGTTTAACCCATGTAACTTTTTACGTTAGGCACTTACATTTCTCCAGACTGGGGAGGGAGGGAGTAGGTTAAACACTAGAAACATATCCGACAGTACCAGAAGGACTGGGGGTGTGAGAATGGGACATTTCCCTCTCACCTCTTGATGGACGTAGAATCTTCTACCTGGTAATCCTAGCAGTATATGAACACCTCAAATGGATAAGGAATCATATTGCTTATACTTTCTTTGTGAAAACACATGTGATGCCTATTTCCTGGTCTCTGGGCTGAGATCAAGTGTGAAGCTGGCATAATCAGTATTTTGCTTTCACCCCCCAAATGGCCAGTAAATGGATATATGTGCATGTGGTTTTATTTCTGCATACTGTATTGTATTACTATATCAATACATACTGCATATGTATCCTTCACATTAAAATAAGTATGGTATCAAGCCAGGTGTGGTAGCACACGTCTTTAATCACAACACTTGGTAGGCAGAGGCAGGTGGATCTCTGTGAGTTCGAGGCCCACCTAGTTCACAGATCAGCCAGGTCTACACAGTAAGATCCTGTCGCAAAAGAATTACATTAATAATGATGATAAAATTTGACCTTCGTGGGCACTAGGCAAGCATGCAGTGCCCAGACATATGTGCAGGTAAAACACCCATACACATAAAATAAAATAAAGATAATTTGAAAAATTTAAAACTAAAACTTAATGGCAGTGTGGGTTAAAAATGAACATGTCCCCTTTCTGTTTTTGTTTTTGTTTTGTTTTTGTTTTTTGAGACGGTCTCAATAGACCAATGCTTCCTGCTGCTTAGGCTCCTGAACGCCGCGATTCCAGGAGTATGCCAACCCAGCAGCTTGGGATGGGAATTTTCACCAAATGGCCTATTTTCACTTTATTTATTCTGCGGTTATACAGCTATTTCCCTGGGATTGAAGCACTCCTCCCTGAAGGAGGAGAAAGTTCAGGAAACTAAAGAAACTGACAAGGTGCTGGAAGCTAAATAAATTTACCGATGTTTAAGATGCCCAGGAAGCTCAGAGTTGCAAGATTCACACCTCCAACACACCGCTCCCCCCCACCTCGCTTCCGAGGTTATAGGAGCAGAAGCAACTGTATGTGTGTGTGGGGGGGGGGGTCTTTGCAGTGGAGCTCCCCTCCAGGTCTCTGGAAAGGGCTACAGGTAGGGAAGGATTAGGGGAGGGCATTCCTGCATTGCTTTCCAGTGTGGCTGCCCTAAGGCCACCCATGCTTCTGCTCCTAGCCCCCGCCCCCTCACTGTTCTGAAAGTTAACCTAATAAACCCATTGGTGGTCCCTCCCCCCGCCCCCCGAGTGAACTTGGCTGGAACTGCACCTAGGGTTGTTCTTTGGGCTGTAGGAGGTCTCCCCCCAGGAAATGGATTTTAGCAACATCTCAGTGAAATGTTGTACAGTATCCGTCATGATCCGGTCCACCACTTCGGCAGTTCGCGTACGCGTAATTCCTCCTGAGGCTAATAGAGAATTACACTCTATTCGCCAGTGATATGGAATAAACAAGATAAATCAACTTGGTCATTTTACAAAAAGGCAACAGATGTCACTTTTAAAAGTAACGTGCTAAGTGCATTGCACGCAGGTCAAGTAGGCAAAACTTCAGCTTTCAGGACATGCTGTTCAGGGAGCGCTGACAGGGAGCGCTGACACACTTGAGAAACACTGCTTTTCTCTGAGTCGGGTAGCTATAGCTTTGGGCTTCACACAGAGAAGCTGGGCTTGCAAGCCCGCAGTCTGGTAGCAGGAAGCCACGCCTCTGTAGGTTCCTGACCCACCAGAACCAACCAGACTTGAGCGAGCTGTGAGACTGACAGCGGGCAGAAAGGAAGGCCGGAGCCAGCTGCTCATTGGCCGGTCCTTCTAGAGAGGAGAGTCCCGGCCCAGACCCGCCACATCCCCTGACCTGGTGCTGTTACCTGATGGCGTTAACTGGAGGGTTGCAGAGGCGGATCAGTGCCAGGGAGTGAGGCAGCCTCAGATACTCGGCCATTTTCTCAAGGTATCCTGAACCTCTGAAGTCTGGGACTGCCGGGAGCTCCTTTTCTGGGCCGTCCCGAGAGGAGGGGCACGCGCTGGACCAATGGGAGCCGCCGCCTCCTGCCCCTTGCACCACATGCTACCCAATGCTGGCGGCACGCCGAACTGCTGGTTCTCACAACTGAAGTCAACCAAAACAGCCATCTGCCCGGGCACGAAGCCCCGAGAGCCCTGTTTGCCCGTTCCTCTCTGGTTCTGTCCCCTTCTAAGGGCTGGGATTTCTTATAGTTTATCCATGAACTGCGCACCTATTATGGGCTGGACATAGGCTGGATACTGACAATAAACCATGCTTTGTTTCTTCCCTCTCAAAGCTCAAATGTGCATGCTTTTCAAGGTTGCAAAAGCCCACCAAGTAGCCAGAAGACAGTGTGCAGGTGGACAAGAAACACACACACACACACACACACACACACACATACATACACATGTGTGTAAATCTTCACTGATGTTTCCCAAGTTTTAACAATGTCTAAAGATTATTTCCAGACATGTTACTTCTTGAAATTAAGAAAGGGTTTAGTTAGTAGAAGAGTTCTGAGTGCCCTGGCAGCCCGGTAACAAGCAGCGTTCAGAGGCATCCCAATAATGGGAGCCCACATGTCATGCACAGCCTATTACCGAAAGCACTTCTTCAGATGACAACAGACTCATGGCAGCAAGCGGCTGCGAACAAGCGATGGGAATCTCTATCTACTGCCTCTAAAACCACGCCAATCTGTAGACTTTAACTAGTCCCCAAACCCTCCTAGTGTGTTGTTGGAGGAAGTCTGCATGGCCATCTAGGAGAACATGCTCTGCCACAGTGTCCTAGGAACTTGAACAGGTAGGGTTCAAGGTTTAACAGCACTGACTGGCCTTACTACACCCACCCCCTTGGAGCAGGGGGAGATAACAAGCACATTGGAGCCAGCTGGTGACACTTTGTTCTCTTCATCTTGTAGGAGTCAGTCACTGGCCATTGTGTCTCTGCATTTTTATTTTAGTTGGGCCCAGAACTTTCTGCCCTCCCATGGTGGGATCTTGGTTCAAGCTTCTATGTAAATCTAATATATTGCTTGGCTGTTTAGAGTTGGCGACTCACCAGGGACAGAACCTGTGTGAGGCAAGTGAGACATTTAAGGGACAAAGTTCAAAGGGCAATTACTATCAGGTTCACCTAGTGCTGAACCTCAACAACAGGGTCATCCACAGCCCTATCAATTAGTCCCTCTGCAAATGTTGCACATTGAGAGACCATTGGATACAGCTAGGTGGTAGCATGTTGATTTTTCTTTTCCTGGTAGTACAAAACTGTCTATATGCATGGGTTCCATATTTGCTGAGTTCATGGATGTGTAATTTGTTAAGTAGGTTCTACCATGTTGCTGTTTGTAGACTGCTTGACTATTTGATAGTCTTTTGATCTTTGGCTTGAACTGCTATATCCTTTCATTGTTTCACTTAATTTGTCTTACGAAGTGCTTGGCTACTTTACAGAATATCATTCCTCTTGGATAAGCACTGCACACCAACTGCACGCCACCCTTTGCTAAGTACATTGCTTTCACTGTTGCAACTACATTGCCTTGACTGGTACAGTGCCCAGAGGGTAAATGGTGAGCCCTATAGAAAATCCTGTACTTTTACCTGCTGGCACATGCAGGTGGTCTCTCTCTATGGGAAGAATAGGGGTGGCTTCTTCTCTCCATCTCAATCTGCCAGGCAAAGAATCCAATTCAGTCTCATTGAGAAGAAGGACAAGGCTCATGGGTCACTAATGATTCTTCTCATTTTAACTCTATAGTATGTAAGTTTTCAAGTGTGCACCAAAAACAAGAACATAGTAAAACAACAATATCCGTATGTCTGTGTGTGGCCATTGATCATTGTTGCCTTCCTGTGTTTTATAGTAATTCTACTCACAAACTATGGTGTTTTGGCATTAGCTCTGCTGACTGCAGTATAACGGTGCTTAGTATAGTGGTTCAAGCCTGTAGTCCAGTCAGTACTCAGTAGGCTGAGGCAGGAGGATCACCATGAGTTTGAGGCCACCCTGGACTATATAAAGGTCTTAAAACAAGCAAATGAAAGTGTTGCAATGACCTTTATTTCAATCCTTTTCCCAACTCCTCTATTGTGTCATCTTTCCATTCTATACTTGCCACCATACTTTTTTTTAAAGAGGTATTTTAATAGGTAAAAGGGCAAGGGCACTAGTGGTGGATAGAACAGTTCAGAACTATTCCTGCAATTTATTTACTTTTTTTCTCGCTCAGCAAACGTTCAAGACCTATTAGCTCCCAAAGTCTCGGGCATTCAAATGCCATCATTGTAGGTAATAGTTCAGTAGGCCAAAGGATAGATGGGAGTGGAGGAGAGGCCAGAGAGAAACAAAGACTGACTTTACCTCCTGCCATCTAGTGACCACAGTGCTAAATTTTACTTTTTTTCCTAGGACATAGAGTATCATAGTGTTGTTCAGGAAAGACTTTTAAGAACTCAGGGCCCAGAGAGCTGAAGCAATTTATTTAAAGTCATATGGCTGTTAACATGGAACTAGATCACATACCTATGTTGCCCAGCAACCCTGAGATCTCCAGGGCAGACCAACAGCTTGGAATCCCATGAGAACTGGTCCTATAGCTCAAGTCCAAAAGTGAATATATATCTGGAGGCAGAACTCTCATTTCCTTAGTTCACCTACCTCAACCTTTTCCCTTTTAAGGAAGGCCTCCAAGGACTTGGACAAGGCCTACCTATGTTACAGAGCATCATATGTTTTATTCAAAACCAACTAACTGGAACCGGGCAGTGGTGACACATGACTTTAGTCGCAGCACTCAGGAGGCAGAGGCAAGCAGATCTCTGTGAGTTCAAGATCAGCCTGGTCTACAAGAGCTAGTTCCAGGACAGCCTCCAAAGCCACAGAGAAACCCTGTCTCGAAAAAACAAAACGAAAACAAACAAACAAAAAAAACCCCAAAACCAGCTAATTGGGGCTAGAGAGATGGTTCATCAGTTAAGCACACTGGCTGCTCTTACAGAGGACCAGGGTTCAATTCCCAGCACCTACACAGTTTTCAACTGTGTGTAGCTCCAATCTCAAAGAATCTGGTGCCTTCTTCTGGCCTCTTTAAGCATCAGGTTTGCACATGTCTTGTATATATGCCTGCAGGCAAAACACCCACACATATAAAACTAAATTAAAAAAACTAAAAGAATCAACTGATGGAAATGTTATTTCCACCTAAAGATTATTTTACAGAAACACCTGATGTTTCACCAATAACTGACTTCCGTGGCCAAATCAAGTTGATGTAGAAGATCAGCTATCATAGAAGACAGAGAATGAGACTTGGTTCTGTGCAGATGAAAGGACAATAATTGGGTTTTTGTTTTTTTAATTTTATTTTAAAAAAGAAAATTGCCAGGCAGTGGTGGTGCACGCCTTTAATCCCAGCACTTGGGAGGCAGAGGCAGGCAGATCTCTGTGAGTTCGAGGCCGGGCTGGTCCAACAGCCTCCAAAACAATACAGAGAAACCCTGAATCATAAAAACCAAAAAAAAAAAAAAAAAAAAAGAAGAAGTTGTTTTCTTCCTTGCTCAAGAGTGTGACAATTGGACAGGAAGGGACATTAAGAACTATAATATCTTCAAGACCAAATGTCCTCATGAAAATGAGCAATGATAAGAAACACTGTTCCCAGGGTTTCAGGCCAGAAGGCCTGGCTCAGAGTCCCCAACATTAGAACTAGTCACCCATCCCAGTAAGCTAAGCAAACAGTAAGTAGTGTGGAAGGTCAGATATCAGTGTGGAGTGCTGGGAAGAACAGATAAATGGATTCTGTGTCTGTAAATCCATCTTCCGGGGGCTAACAGAATACTCAACCTTTGTACAAAAGAAAAAAAGTTGGATTATGAAAAGCTGACAGAATAGTTGATCTTGGCTGGTCCAGTGGCTTGGCTGATCATTATCTCTGTTCTGGTCCCACCATGAGGTTGTGGAAAGTTGTTGCTGCTATCATGTTCCCATAATGCCTTAGTTAGCATTTCCATTGTGGGGAGGAGACACCATGACCACAGCAACTCTTATAAAGGGAAACATTTGATTGGGGCTGGCTTACAGTTCAGAGGTTTAATCCATTATCATCATGACAGGAAGCATGGCAGCATGCAGGCAGACCTGGTGTTGGAGCTGAGAGACCTCACATCTTGATCCAAAGGCAACAGGAAGTAAACTGAGATTGGTGTAAATCTTGATTGCTTGAGACTTTTCAATGTCTGGTTTTTAATGATATTAATTTGAAAAAAACGTCAACTTGTATTTCTGAAAATCAAGTCATGGTTTGTTGGGGCTAAAAGGAGGAAGTGTTGAATGACAGAACTAGATGTACCTTGAGAACCCTAACATTGAATGACCGTTCCACTAAAAGGGTTGCGTCCCTTACCAGATATGGAATGTCCCTAAGGCAAGTGTTCACTGTCTTCATTTATGTATCTCTAATGTCTCTGTGCCTCCTGTGTGAATAAATGAAAAGCAAATGGAATTAAAGAAGCTAAAATTCTAGAATGGCTAACTTTGTGCCTTGTGGCAAATTACAAAATCCTTACAGTAAAAAAATGTATTACAAATATCTTTTGGTTTAAACTGCATGGGTGCACATGCCTGTAAGGTTAATGCTGTGGGGGTTCAGGAAGGAGGCCAGTCTGGGTCACATAGAGAAACCTTGTCTCAGAAAACAAAAGTCATTGTTTTAATAAAATAGAATACTTCATCTGTATTATTCTACAGGTCTGTGTGTGTGGGGTTCTTGGGTATCTGGAACACTGACCCATCACCCATATTTCAATACTACTAGTAGTGTTGTGAAAGATGACTAGCTTTGTTATTTTCCTAAAGAACAAGTTGAGATGTTTCTTTGAAATATAAGAGTAAATGAAACCTGTCAGTGCAGTACAGTCAGAGTCTGCTTGCCTTCTAGAACTGTCAGTCAGTAATTTGTTCCTAGTCAGCCATTTTAAAACCACCCCTCATTATGAGGTTTGCCT